TCTAGAATGTCTCACGAGACATTTGAATTCCAGCCCTACTTATGTAAGGCAACAAGTTACCGATCCCCAAATCGTTCTCCCGCCGTGAGCACCGCAATTCATAAACAGATTCACGACACCCAAACCCATCATTTCGCTGCTATCCCACCCTACGGGCAACCTCTTACATAACAAACAAATGATAGCTGTAAATGAAGACATGACCAGGAGCCACCGAATGTCCTAATCGACTCATCACCAAACCCTAAGCACCACAGCACGCAGCCGACCGGATCTAGAGTCCTGCCAACAAAGGCTCCTACAGAAACCCTACGGTTCGGGCCAGATCGGGCGGGGAGGGAGCTCGATCCCGATCCGGACACGAGAGATCGAGGAGCCTAGGCGCCTAGCAGGGAGGAAAAGGGAGGGGACCAGGTGGGTACCGTCGCCGTCCTTGTCGAAGAGGCTGAAGGCCTCCTTGAACTCCGCGATCTGGTCGTCGGTCAGCTGGTCCGCCATGGCAGAGGGCTGCGGCGAGGGCACGCGACGGGGAAGGAGAGGAGGGGATGGGTGCTCGTGCTCGCGTCACCTTGTGGATTGGCCTGAGCGGATGGGGAACGAGGTGGCCGGTCGCCCGGTCCGTGGGCCGGATTTATAGGCAGCGGTGAGGCGACCGCGAGGGGGAGGATTCCAAGTTCCAACTGCGGTTTTTGTATCCGGTTCTCCGTCCTTTTTCTCCCTGTCTATATTCCATATTTTTTTCCTTTCCTCTCTTTCCTTTTTCTTTTCCCTTCCCTTTGGCGTTAGGTAACCCACGATTCCATATTCCATTTTATGATCAGAAGATATTACGGGACTGGCGATGCTTGAATTTGTGTTTGATTGACATGCAATGGTGATGTGGTAACAGTGGTCGTCTCAATTTCATATTACTATGTTTTCAGAAAAATTATAAATTATTTATATGAATTCTAGATAAATATATACCAAAATCGTTCACAAATCTCAAAGAGAGAACAAACCAAAACGAATTAACCCAGCTAATTCAGTCGCTAGCGGAGCTAGTTGTCGGGGCCACGACGACGGTGCCGTCGTCGGTGGGGAAGGGCAACGGCAAGCAGCAGGACACGAGGATTCAGAGGAGGCAAGCGGTCAGCCCGATGGACAAGTATTGGACGCCGATCGACGACAAGGAGGAGGCGGAGGCCGTCGACGACAGCGGTGAGGACGGGCGGCGCCCGCTCCCGTTCCGACGTACATCCGGCCCTCATTAACACGCGCACATGCTTTTCCGAAGAGAAAAGCTAACACGGTTGTCAGAGACCATCGATCACGGGGGCAGCATCGGCGTTTGTCAGAGAAAATCGAGTGCTGGAGAGGGAGGAAACCAGGACCTTGTCTAGATGGGTGTAAGAAATCAGTATTTGACACTGTAGCATTTTCGTTTGTAATTGATAATTATTGTCCAATCATAGCCTAATTAGGCTCAAAAGATTCGTCTCGTAATTTACAATCAAACTATGTAATTAGTTATTTTTTTATTTATATTTAATACTTCATGCATGTGTCTAGAGATTTGATGTGATGGAGAGAGAGTGAAAAAACTTGGAATCTAAACAAGGCCTCTGCTAGCTTTTCTCTTTTAATCCTCAAATTTTAACTTTGGGCTCAATTTTATTCATGAGCTAGTACCAAATTAGCCATTTGAAACCTCAAACTTTTCATTTAGTTTCATCATCACTCTTCATTATACGCAGCACTCCATGTTGTCATGTCTTGTTAGTCCTAACACCACTGCGAGCGGAGGTGGACAATCGTCGTTGCTAGTCGCATCAAGCTAGCGATGCTAGGACATGTACAAGTGAAATGGCTAGGTCTGGTAACCACAGGTAGCACAGAATCGTTGTAAAAACCTATATATAGAAGATGTAAATTACATGTAGACCATTGTATCCATTTAAGGAGATTGGGCAACATTTTTGTTTCAGCCTACAACTTACAAAATATTACTCTAAAAGTAAAAAACAAATACAAGGGCAGGGATAAAAGAATTAGAATAGTCAAAATGGATTCTTCCTGTTGAATGTTGACGGCCAAAATATAATCAGGGAGTTAAAGAAGGAACTAGAAAATCATGTGTAAACAAAAACGATAAAAATGATTGAATTTGGCTAAAATTTGCAAAGAAGCAGAAAAAAACTGGCCCACGCTAGTTTGGAGGGCCTTAGCTAAAACAACAGTTAAAACCGGTCCAAGCCGATTTTGGAACCGACATGAGTTGGTTTTGACGGTCCGAGTCCAAATCTCGATTTTCTTGTTAGAAACTCCTCCCATCTCTTGTAGAATAAGTTTTGTATTAAGATAAGACCACCCATTCTAATTATATGGGAGGATCACAGCGGATTAAGAGATCCATTGATCCAATTGTCAAAAGAGATCAAGAATCCACATAGTAGGGATAATGCCGACTATCGAGTTAGGGGATGAGGCAGGATCCGATGGCCGAGGGCAACCCTTAAACCTCTTCACAATGTCCCATGATCATATCTAAGGGGGGATCCAGGTCTCATGCGTAATTGGGGAGGAGGCAACGGTGCAGGGCAAAGCAAGGCAGGGCGCGTCGGACGACTCACCATGGGCGAGCAAGTAGGACGGGTCGCTATGAACCAGTTTCTCCGGAAAATCAAGTTGCCACAAACATGGCCCGTTTGGTTGTTGCGAACAGGCTTGTCAGAGGAGATCTGTCAATTTGCTTCTCCATGGGAGCAGTGGCGGATCTAGCGGTAGGGCAGGAGGGGCTCGTGCCCCCCTACCAGTGTCGATACAAGGAAGCCCCCCTAAGCCCCTCCTAGAAATTTCTGCCATTGCTGTACAGGAAGGAGGTGCTACAGTTGCATTCAGAGGTAGAATTCAAGAAGGAGCTGACTAGCGTTCAGAGATGAGGCTTTTTGATTTTGGGTCAACGACACTAGACATGATATTGGGTTTCGAAGATGTGCTAGAGCGGTCTATCATATATGACTGAGTTATAGGTTTTATCTTGGTTTATCTAGATAAACCTATAACTCAGTCATACATGATCCAATGAGCATGGAATTTTTGCTACATCTCAAGCATGCAATAATTATTGCATCATAAAAAATTCACCATAATTGGATCACAGAAGCTTCAGCTATGAATTAATTACGGAAAAACACAGTTCTAAAGTTACAACAAAAACTTTGCATGAAAGCATACCAATATCATATGCTCCCTATGTACATCTACTCATGTGGAGTCCAACAAAAATTTCATATTCATTAGATCATGTATGACTGAGTTATAGATTTAATTTCATTTAAAAACTATTTAACAAACATAAACCTAGATAAATCTACAACTCAATCATACATGATTTAATGAGCATGAAAATTTTACTACAGCTCAACCGTGCAATGATTACCCCACCATAACAATTTCACCACACTTGGACCAGAAAAACTGCAACTATGAATTAATTATTGAAAAGTATAGATCTAAAGTTACAGCAAAAACTTTATGCTAAAGCATAACATATCATATGTTCATTGTGTATATCTACTCATGTGGAGTCCAACACAATTGGATTTTCTATTTTTTGATTTTTCTACGATTTACTATGATTTTTTTAAGAATTCAGTCGAAATAAATATAAAAGGAAAAAGAAAAACCACCAATTGAAACAACCATGGGTGTCAAAGTGTCCGGTTTTGAGAGACGAGGGATGAGCTATTTCCGGTTAGAGTTGAGAGAGGAAAAGTTAATTTTTACGATAGTTAAGTGAGGCAAAATGGACTTTTTCGCATAAAAAATGTTATGCCTTTTGGGCCACCGATCGTAGCACTATTGAGCCTGGTAGCAGTGCCAACATAATATAGATTTTAGTTATAGCTGGGTAAACAAGCACGCGATCGTTCATAATAATATTGCAGACATATATATGTTTCTCGCTTTATTTCATGGCAAAACAAAGCCAATAAATATCTATATATTTGTATGAGTGAAGAGGATCTTCAGAAGACACTCTAAATTCCATCTTTCATATCTTTATTTAGCTATCCACTCCAAAAAATTCTCTCTCAGTATTGCTTGTCACTCTAGTAGACTAAGCTAAATTACGTCCTTCATATCCACTTGGTCTATATTCGATTTACTGAAATTATTTGTACCAGAAAGATTTAGCTAATATTTATAATGGATTTAAATTTTACAATGTCTCTAATTTGAACCAATATTTGTAATGGATTTTAATTTTACAATGTCTCTAATTTGAAGTTTTATACTGCAAGTGAATATACTAGAACACCTATACCCCAATAATGGCAATATTCCACGGAAAGGTTCGATTAGCTAATATTTGTAATCGATTTTAATTTTGTGATATCTCTAATTTGAACTAATATTTGTAATGGGTTTTAATTTTTGCAATGTCTCTAATTTGAACATTTATACTGCACTGAATATACTAGAACAATTATACTCCAATCGCAATTATACTGCACTGAACTAATATCTCGTCGTGCTCACAGCTAAAGAACGAGAGTCCTCAAAACCGAGACGAACTCTAGTCTCTAGCTGTGAAAAGACATCATTGTCTCAGAAAACTGGGATCCATGTCTTGACGCAAGCTTACTGACGATCTACTTAAGGAGAACGGGTTGTTAAGAGTTTTCTGAAAAAAAAGGAGAAAAACGTATCCTATGATAATTCCGGAGGATTAGCTTTGGCATTATCGCTATTGGTTCGGGCGCAAATATACAATCACAGTCAGAAGCAAATAAAAATCAGGACCAAATCTGACATCGATGCACTTAACTTTTAAGGCAGAAATTCCTTGACCATTTAGTATGTTTTTTCACTAGTCCACATCATATTGACGATTGCAAGCAACTGAACTACTTACATGATCGACTCCACCATCTACTCTCTATAACGACTTTCTGAACTAACACCGAGTACGTACCATCTTAAAACTAAGAAGACACTACTGGAAGTGTAACTATCTACCAGCATCTAAACTCGACGAAACCACCTACGGTGACGCTGAAGGAGGTGTAGCAGGCGTCATTGGCGGTTCTGCTGGCGTAGGAGGCATTATCGGCGGCACCTGTTGCGCTGTCAATCAAATATGAACGAACATGCATCAGCATCACCAGATTATATTAATCTCCTTCGACGGAAGGAAGGATAAAATCTGTGTAGAAACTCATAATGCGAGGCATTGTAACTTACAGTTGCAGGCGAAGAGCGTTTGGAGCGGCAGCATGGTGCCGCAGGCGAGCGGGAGGATGAGCATGCGGATGGGGTCGACGGGCTTGGGCAAGAACTGGTTCATGTCGCCGTTCATGCCGTGGCAGAGGCAGATGGGCGCGTCCCTGATGACGGACTTGAGCCCGTCGCAGCACTCGCCGGGGGGCGTCAGCACGGTGATGTTGGTCAGGTAGTCCGTGCACGGCAGCATCCCCGCCAGCGGCGTCATGCACTCCGTCGGTTGGGGCGGCTGAGGGGTGGACGACGTCGACGTCAAGCTGGCACCCAGCTTGCCGGCGCCTTGGAGAGGCGGAGACGACGACCCCGGCCGCGGGAGGAGCGGGATCAGTGGCTGCAACAGGCCGATGATGCCGCCCAGCCCCGGGAAAAGCAGGCCCAGGATGGCGGCCAGTAGGTTTGGAGGTAGGCCAGAGGGGATGCCCGGGCCCGCCGGAGGTGTTGATGGGCGTGCCACGCCGCCGGCTGCTGCTTGGTCGGCCACCTTTCCTGCTGCTTCTTGGCCTGCGGCCGCGGGCTTGAATGCTTGCTGGACTTGGACCCTCGCCGCTTCCGACGGATGCAGCGCCGCCGCCGCCATGGCGAAGGCGAAGAACAGGGCGATGAGCCTGGGCGAAGCCATGTCGAGTTGGAGGCTTGGGATGCTATGGCGCTTTGCCTGGTTTGTGTGTTGGATCGGATGCATGACCACGTGGGTTTGGCCGTCAATTTATAGCCTGGATGGATAGCGTTGAGATAAAGAATTCAAACATTTGTTGTAACGAGATTGGATTTTTAATCTCTCATCCCTTGTTATTACTGCTTCTGATTAATTTGTCCTTCAATCAAAGGAGTCCAAGCAGTTTGAGTTTGAGGGTCTGTCTCTGTTTGTCATGTCTGTAAGAGAAGAGAAACGATGATGAAGCCTGCACGGAGTCCTGCTGATCTTGTGCTCGTAAAAATTGCAATATTCTTTCAGATAAAGTTGGACGCGATATGGATGTCCGTAGTCCAGATAATCTACTTTCTGCTTGAATTGATCGGAAGTACAAAGAGTGCATCATCGAGCACCGAGGACTCCGGAACTGCTGACTGACTAGTTTCAAGTTCAGACATTGCAGATTGCAAGAGTCCGACATTTCTGAAATTGAGAGTCTGGTTGGTGTTCTGTCAAAATCCCTGCTGGCCTCGATAGATAAAATTTGAAAATCCCTGTTGGCCTCGATAGATAAAATGCAGAGTTTGCTGTAATAATGATATATGACTCGTTTCTTGGACTATCACTATCCTGGACTCTTTTTTTTTCCTGCCTTACTGTTGTACAAAGCAGAATTGAGTTTTAAAGCTATCCCATTCAGGTTTGTTTTTTTGAGGGAAAGTTATCCTATTCATGAAAAAGTCCACGTTACCTCCTTTAACTTCTGCGAAAATCTATTTTTCCTCCCTGAATTCTAAAACTGGGCAAACAACATCTCTGAATTTTTAAAACCGTTCATTTTACCTCCCTGACCGGTTATAAACGGTTTTCAAAGGCGGTTTTTTTCTTTTTCTTTTTTTTTGACTGAATCTTTGAAAAATCATAGTAAATCACAGGAAAATTATAAAATGAAAAATTCAATTTTATTGGACTCCCAACGAGTAGATCTACACAGTGAATATATAATATTATATGCTTTAGTATAATTTTTTTGTTCTAGCTTTAGATCTATGCTTTTCTATAACTAATTCATAGCTGCAGTTTTTATGGTCCAATTGTGGTAAAATTTTTATGATGGGCTAATTATTATATGCTTGAGCTGTAGTAAAAATTTTATACTCATTGGATCATTTATAACTTAGTTATGAGATGCAACTTAATTGTGAGTTGCGGCCCTGCTACCTCATCGCCTGCCGGGGACGCTTTTTGGCCACCGAAAGGGGGAGCAGCGGCAGCGGCGGTAGAAGCAGACGGCGGTGGGCACATCGGAGATACTGCTTGGCATGACCCACGACCCAACTGCAGATTGGTGGGATTCCGCCGACCCAACCTCATCGGCAGAGCTACTTTGTCATCACGAGGAACTTATTTGTCTTCGTGATGCATGGCGGGATTCCAATGTCAAGCGCATGGAGGAGACGATGCAGACACCCACCGCGGGGACCTCTGCTGTCGATGCTCCACCAAGCGAGCCCTCGTCGAACCGTTCTCGTCGAGGTGCTCCATATGTTCCAAACTCGGTAACGACGCCCATCGGGACACCGTCGTCCTCCCACCCTCTCCACCCCCACCGGTGACTTCCTGCTCGAGTTCGAAGACTGATCCGGGTCGTAAGCCTCATCGGTGTTGGAAGCAGAGACAGGCGGGAGAAGAGAGCAAGCTCTCGCCGAGCTTCGTGGCGTCCTTTTCGATGATTGAGGAGGGTTCACATCATCGCAACAAATCCAGAGGTGTTGGGTTCCCGGTTGAGCTCTCAGCATGGCAATTCACGAGGAGGTCGGAGCGGGAGACCATTCCGTTTGATGGGATTGGAAGAGAAGAGGTGAAGTTGAAGTCTATACCCATCATTTTGCGTTGGGCTTTCTCATGGCGGAGCAGAGGAGCCGCCGTCAATGGTGGGAGGAAGCCGACAGAAGTCAAACGAGGTCGATGGCAAGGGACCTACGCGTCAGCGACCGTGGTTCCGGTTACATCCCAAAGTGCAGATTGTCCCCGGATCCCAGGGCGGGCGCCTTCAGCCGAGCCACGCATCGCGCATCTAGGGGAGGCACTGCTACATTCAGACCTATCACAAGCGGTTCGTAAAGCCCATCACAACCGCTTTTCGGTCTCGGCAGTAAGCTGTCAGTGGTGATGACATTCTCATCACAGGCGGGTTGCAACGGGCGATGATAATAGCTTATCATAGTCAGTTCGTATTACCAGCCGACGGTGATTTGAATTTTCAAAGTTCCCAAAAACGGGCAAAAAAAAGCAAAAACTTTTGTTTCAATCCTAGGAAGCCCCCCACTAGCTCCAGTTTCATGGTACCAGGAAGCTGCTCCAGCTCTAACTCCACGTGATTTTTCATGGTATGCGGTGCTGAGATTCAAACCTGAGATCTTTGTCCTTTGCTCCTCTAACCACTCTCCTCTAACCACTCCACCCCTAAGTCACTTGTGTCTTTATAGCATAGACATTCCTCTAGTATTCATTTTTTAGGATTTAAAATGAATATTTAGAACCCTAAACAGCTTTAGATGAAAAATGATAAACCACAAATTTGATGTTCTAATCGAGATCTACAACTTTGAATTTGGTTGTTTTTCCATCCGAGGTCGTTTAACAAATTTGAATTTCAAAACGTCAAAACTTTAGCAAGACTTTTGGGACCTCAAATGATTTCAAATGAAAAACTCATCAACTACAAAGTTGTTATTCTCATCGAGATCTACAACTTTGGTTTTGGTCCATTTTTCATCCAAGGATGTTTGAAAATTTAGGTTTTTTTAAATTGTAAAACTTATATACAAATTTGAGACTATAAATGATTTCTAATAAAATAGTTGTCAACTACAAAGTTATATATCTCATCGAGATATACAACATTGGTTTAGGTTATTTTTCCATCTAAGGTCGTTTGTACAATTCAAAAAATTTGAATTTTAAAATTTGAGTGCTTCAAAAAGAATTCTAGGACCGCAAATGGTTTCAAATGAAAAGTCGTCAACTACAAAACTACAACTTTGATATAAAGTTTTGTCGGAATTATAACCTCAGAGTGTCTCAAGGCACCGATTAGTTAGCAGGCCACACGACCCACAACACAATGGCTAACAAAGGCCCGAACGACCGAGGCTCAGCGAAAGCCGAGCGGAGCGAGCAAGGCACCAAGGCCGGGGTTATCCTCGACCCCTTCCATCCGCCTTAGCACACAGCACTCGCAAAATGCATGACCTCTCCCCGTCATGACCCCCGAGAGGGATGGGGAGAGGTTGAGCGCAGATAGGCGTGCCTGCTCTGACAAGAGCAAGCATGCCGCACTAACCCCGCAAGGACCGAGGGGATTGCAGTCACCTCAGCCCAGTCAGACACCAACCCCATGCCACGCTGCGCGGACAAGACAACACCGCCTCAACGCAAAGGCTATAGGTACGATGCCCGCCATCCAAACACGGACCAACAAGCCACATGTACGACCCCCACCCACCACGGGATGGGATCCACGACAAGAGACCCAACGAAAAGGCCATCTAAACCGGCAGAGTGCCCCGACCCCGACGATCGGGGTCGTGGCCCTTGGCCCCACGAAGCGACCAAGCGAATGGTGACCCGAGTCGGCTACCTACTTCAGGTACAACGCCCCTGAGAACTAGGAGACGGTGACGAAGGCCACGCCAGACACCGCGCTGCACAGGACAGCTAACGAACCACCATTGAGGCTATAGTGTCGCAACGGTTGGCACAGTAGCGCCACGCCACACCCTGTCGCAACGCGTCCAGAAGACCATGACGATAGCCACGACCGAACGTGCACCAGAAGACAGCGTAACTTGCAAGCCAAGTTAGCTAGGCCCTCCCTCAGGCTCTCGACCCTTCGGTCAGGAGAACCTCCTCTTTGTATAAGCCCTGGTCCCAAACTCTATATAAGGGCAACCAGGGCACCCTTTCCTAACATTCTGAATCCTCAACCATTCCATTCAATCACCATTGTAGTAGGGCTCCTGGAGCTTCTCTTCGGATAGCCCTTCGCCTAGCATAGGTCCCTCCACTTCTTTCACTATTCTTGCACCCCCCATTGTAAGAACTTCAGAGCATTCAAGCGAGGAACACGCACTCGATCATCTCTGAGACTAGACGTAGGGCTCTGGCCTGAACCAGTATAAATCCTCGTGTCTATTGGATGCTACCATTGTCTTCCTAGAGCAGCGCGGCCGTCGTATAAGTTTACTAGTCTGATTTACAAAACACTGACAGTTGGCACACTAGGTAGAGGACAGTTGTGCACTCTCGTTTGTTGAGAAGGAAGCGATGGCTCCTCACACTGCTGGTGGACTCATTGGTGGAATGGCCCACGGTGGCCACATCCACCGTAAAAAAACTACGAGTTCACCAGCATCAAAGGGCTAGCACCCGCGACCGCACGCGGCTATGACTCAAACCTCTACCATAGAGATCCAGGACATGTAGCTCGTAGCGGACACACTCTCGAAACTACCTCCGGAGGCAGCATCCTGGAGTTCACCTACCTAGAGGAGCCAGTACCCTTGCTCACCACTAGCCACATCGAGGCCCCCCGTTCGGGAAGCCAAAGGTCCATGGCTCGCAACGAACTCGCCCAGGGAATGGCCTCAACCGGCCACATCCTTTTGGGGAACCATGCGGTTAACTGCACCAAAGCGTCGACGCCCGTGTCCGCCCTCAACTGCGATCCATACCTCTGTCCCGTAGGCTTGGATCCCACGGTCCACGGCGGACACAATCTTGGAACTGCCCTCAGGGGCAGCATCCTAGAGTGCACCCGTTTGAGGGGCACAGTGCCTCTCTCATTACTGGCCATAGCCGAGACTTCCACCCGGGAAGCCAGATGGCCATGGCTCACGATGATCTCACCTAAGGAACGGTCTGCGGTGGCCACATCCTTTTCAGGAACCACAAGATCGCCCGAACCGATGGGGCAACGCCCG